AGAGTTGTTTCAGCTCGGTGGTGGGCATAGAAGATGGAGCAGGGTGGGGAGGGAAAAAACGGATGACAGATAATGGACTCTCCAGGAGGACGAAGCTGGGAGAGGTCAGAGTCAGTATGCCAGAGAACCTTCCCCGAGCTGTGTTTCCTGTGTGTCAGGAACCCCTCCAGAAGTTCTTGGGGGTCATTTAAATTAAGCATTCGCCCTAAGAATAGCAGAAAAAGTAAGTTAAAGTTACTCACTGTCTTACCTGGATAAATGACTAACAAAATCATATCTAAAATGATGCTGTGATTCCCCTTAAAGGTTTCTTATTAAGTTAGAATATATTGAAGACTTAGTATATTGATATATAGGAAGCAAACTTTTGTGTCCTTGCTTTGTTGAAAATGCCCTTATTCTGCCCTTACTTTGATTTCCAAGTTCAAAATAATTTTCCCTCAGAATTTTTTTCTTAATTTTTTAAATTATGGTAAAATATACATAAAATGTACCATTTTAACCATGTTTAAGTGTACAGTTCATTGGTGCATTCACATTGTTGTGCAACTGTCACTATCATCCATCTCTAGAACGCCCCAAACTGAAACTTCACCCCCATTAAACTACTCCCCACTCTCTCTCCCACCAGCTCCTGGAAACCACCATTCTACTTGATGTCTCTGTGAATTTGACGACTCTTATATAAGTAACATCATACAATATTTGTCCTTTTATGACTGACTTCTTTCACTAACATAACATCTTCCAGGTTCATCTGTATTGTAGCATGTCAGAATTTCCTTCCTTTTTAATTAAGCCTGAATAATATTCTATTTCTCTCAGAATTTTAAAGGCATTGGTCCTTTGTCTCACAACATCAAATGACATTAAAGAAAAGTTTGTTACTAAATCAATTCTTACTTGTTTGTAAGAAACTATTGTTTCTCTCTGGAAGCTTTTTGTACTTAGTTTTCTAAACTTTATGGAGGATATGTCTGGGTGTAGGCCTTTTTAAATTTGTGTTGGGCACTTGGTGTGACCTTTCAGTCAGAAGACTGGTATCTTTTTAGCTCCGGGAAGTTTTCTTCTATGAATCTATTTTTATATTGTTTCATCCCTTTCCCCATTTTTTTCTGTTCTCTTTCTGGAACTACTGCTTGACAGATGATGGATTATTATCTTTGTCTCTTTTCCCTGATATTTTTCAATTTTTTAACTAGAGTTCTGTGACTTTTCCTTCCAGTCTTTCTAATTTTTATTTTAACAATTATGTATTTAATTTTCAAGAATATTTGTTTTCTACTCCTTTTTAAAAAGCAGCCTGGATTTTTTAAATGAATGTAACATCTATTTGAATTTCTCTGGGAATGTTTATTAGGTTTGTTTGATTTTTCATTTGTTTTTTCCTCTAAGATCCTTTGTAGTCTTTGTGCATCTTGGTGCTGTTAGGTTTGTTTCTTTTTAATACTGAGTAATCCTTGGGTGTGTATTCATATTTGTAAGTGAAGGATTTGACTGACTAGTAGGTTAACTATAGGAAGCTGGCGTGTCTGCTCAGCCACCGCCTAAGTCTGTTTAGCCAAAGGATCTTTCCTCTGCAGGAGAGGGCTGCCTCCATAGGTGCTTGATATAGGTGGGCTTCACTGTAAGATGCTTTGGCAAGGAGCAAATAAATAGGCAGTGCCAGGAGTACCCAGAAGCCAGGAGTAGGCGTGCTCTGAGCTCTCAGCATCCATACTGGGATCCCATGCTGTCTCCAGAAAGGTTGGTACTTTTCTTTCGAGATGCGGTTTGTGGTTTCAGCTTTGGGATGAATGCTGCTGCTACCTTTCTCTGCTAGGGCTGATGATGACGACAGTGGGGGACCCCTGTTCTAAAGATAGACCTTCAAACTGCAGTTAATAAGCACCTTCAGTCCTGCTCAGTGCATGCCAGCTTTGAAGTTGGAATTCTCTAGATGCCTCTACTGCAGTCATGTCCTGTCCATGCACCTCCGACCGCAGCCCACGCCTGTCCTCTGGGTCTCAATGAGAAACGCATCAAAAACTCTGATCTAGTGATGGCCCCTCCTTCTCCTTCCTGGTGCTGTTATGGATACAGTCCTCTCGGTCTTGCCGTCATTGCAGTGGGACCGTGGGAGGGAAAGGAAGCACAGTGTGCTGCGTTTACAACCTTGAACCCGAAGCCCATCCCAGTCCTTTTATTTTTGTCATTATCTTATAATGTTAATGTTGTGAGCTGTCACAAGTCTTTTGTGTAGTGAAGGTAGATAAAAAAACCAACTATTGGGGGTCTACATTTGCCCTGAGCCCAACTTTAGGTGCTGAGCAAGATAAGATGTAAAAATGAGCAATTTATGGTTCTAGCCCCTAAGGAATAATGTTTCTAGTGGGGGAAAAACATCACAAATAAATGAAACATAGAGAAAAAAACCTCAGTTGCCTCAGAGGATTGTATAGACCTTTGAATCTTAAAGGATATGTGAAGTTTATGAAGATAAGTATGAATCTTTTTGTTGAATTTTTTTTATTTTGAAAAAAGCATATATGTGTATGCTTTTCTTGTTCTCTGATCTTCCTTTTTCCATAGCATCCTGTTTTTATTTTTTGAGTATAATATCTCTTAAATCTTTGTGGGAATACTAATTAGGTGTTTTGTTTGTTTGTTTGTTTGTTCGTTTGTTTGTTTTAATTCTGTTGCCTTGGTATTTCTGGTTTTTCCCACAGACATTTTTCCCTCTTTTAGTCTTGTTCATGTGGCAAGCTTTCTCTGAATGGTTTGATTGATGCTTCGTAGTCAGCTCATATTTAAGAATAAAACTGTAGAAGGCTGTCAGGTGGGGGAAAGGAAAAGCTAGCTGCCATGATGGGGAGCAGCTAAACACCAGCATGAGGAGAGCTTTCCATCCACTAGCTGCCAGTGTCCATACTAGGTACTTTAAATTCCCCAGGCAAATTTTGTATTTTTTTTTTACAGAAGAACCTCCCAGTTTTTATTTAGGGATAAGTGACTAGCTTTAGACAAGATTATGCTGGAAGGTGGGGTGATTCTGTTCTGTATAAGACATTTCCCTACATGAAACCTTGACTCCAGTGAGGCGGAATTCCTAATTGTTCTCTGAATGCATGCCCCAGTTTTCCATGCTTCAATGTATCTCCTGTTCCCATGAGGCCTGTTTATAGCCTACCTGTCCTCTAGGACTAGCCAAAGTCCCATCTCTTCTAGACTCACCTTAGCCTCAGTATAACTCTACTTCTAAAATTTCTTGTCCATGTCATTAATTTGAATACAGTCACACACTCCTTTTAAGTAGAAACCTTATTTTTATCATCCTGGTGCTTGAGATAAGCCTTGTACTTAGTGAATGTCAGAATATGTTGTCTTACTTCAACTAAATGCTGCTTCGCATTTGTATCTATCTCTGTGAGTGATTGTTTATAAGTAATGTTCCCACCCTCCCTAAAGCTTATCACCTTTCTTCTTGAAAACATTGTCAACTCCTAGAGGTTGGATCTGTGTCTTAAGTTTTTCCTTTATCCTTTCAGCATCTCACATAGTTTTTTATAACTAGCAGGCACTTAATAAAGATTTATTGAATGATTGAATTGCAGTGGGAGGGACTAACCCCAGTGTGATTATAATTTCAGGTACCTGTGACATTTGATGATATCTCCATCTACTTTTCCACTCCAGAGTGGGAAAAATTAGAAGAATGGCAAAAGGAACTTTACAAGAATATCATGAAGGGCAACTACGAGTCTCTCATCTCCATGGGTGAGGCTAAGTTGGCACTTTTTGAATGAGGTGACAGCAGCTCCAAGAGGGCTCAGAACAGCCCCTTTTCCTCCAGTGGTCCCCATTTTCACTGTCTTCTTTGTGCTTCTAAAGCAAAGATTTTCAGGTCACCCTTGCTGAATAGGAAGCATAATCTCTCCGTATCACAGGGCAGCGAAGGAAGTGCAGGGTTATGAGTGTCCGGCTGCAGTGATTTCCATGGCTGTCCTTCACTTTGAAAGGGCCTGGAACCTCTGCCCTGGAGGCACACTGTCACTCTTACTGATAGTAGCAGGCGGGCTGTACTGAAGTAGCACATGGGCCTTTCCCACACATTACCTCTCGTCTTACCTGCTTTCCTAATAGATTTCATCCATAGTTGGAGGTGAATGGATGGGGAGAAGTGATCTAGAATCTAAAAGAAATTCCCCTGGACTGTGGACCTCAAAGCCTTCAGCTCAGCCTTGATGACAGTTAGTTGTCATTCTCGTTTATCTCTTTGTCATTCCCCATCTCCTTTCTTCCTCTCCTAGATTATGCCATGAATCAGCCTGATGTCTTATCTCAGATTCAGCCAGAAGGAGAACATAATGCAGAGGACCAGGCAGGGCCAGAGGAAAGTGAGATTCCCGCTGACCCCACTGAAGGTAAGTGGGAGAAGAGATTATCCACTCCTTGTTCTCCTTTCCTGGTCAGAGCTTAGCGAGCAGGGTCAGGGGCTTCTAGAGCCTCGTGGTGCTAGGGCAACTAGACTGTGACTTGGTCTCAGGCATTTAAATAGGAGACAGCATAGAGGTCACCTTGTCCCGTGCCTTCACCCATCAGTACCACACATCTGAGGGCTAGTAATGGCATTCCATGACGAAGGTTCTGATACCTAATTATTTAGTAAAATAAACACATCCTTAGATGGCAACGGAAGCAGTGGTGCTCGTCTGGAGGGAAGCAGCTTCCAGGGAATGTACGCCTGAAGTGCTGGAGGGGTTGGGGGTCTGCATAGCCCTCAGAGCTGCACTTAGCCGGCCGACCCCAAAGTGGATTTTGCCTGGGGTGGGAGCCGGCTATCATTAGTCAACCCTCCCTAGTTTTGGTTGGCAGCTGCTTGATACTGCGTGGGAAGGACCGCTAGCAAAGTCCAGCTGTATTGTTTCTCAAGTCCTACCTCTGCAGTCTGAAAAATCTCATTCCATTTCTGTTCTTTGCTGGATAGAAAGCTCATCCTCCAGACATCTCTACTAGAAGAACTTGTGTTAAAAAACCCCCATCACGTACACTGTTACTTTTTTCTAACATTTTATTGTGAAAAGTTTCAAACATTCTTAATAAGAATGAAAAGTCTTAATAATTTTACATCGAATACCTAGATACCTGTCACCTAGATTCTACCACTAACATTTTACTCTACTCCTTTATCACATATATGCCATCTCTGCACATCCCTTCATCCATCCATCCAATTTTCAGTATACTTCAAAATCAATACCGACAGCAATACATTTCCTCCTAAATAGTTCAGCATGAACTATTTAGAGTTCAGTATTTATTTTTTTCATTTGAGGTAAATTTCACATACAGTGAAATGCTCAGATCTTAAGTGAATATTCTCTGTGAGGTATGCATATATCTGCCACACATTTTTTTAAGAATGTTTGGGTGATTGTATGTAGGTAATTTAACAGGTCGAATCTGATCAATATCTATGCCATGGATATAAGTAATGAGTATAAAATCATATCACAAATAAAGATGGGTGACTTGATTACAGAAAGATTCACTATTGAAAATAACTCCTTAGCTACTTTATTAGTTAGCTGCCATAGCCCTCAGCAAGTATAAATCGGTGTGTCATTTTATTTTGGGGGACACATGGAACAAGAGGTAAGTAATTTGGTTTTGTAATGATACATGAAAGTTTCATTTACTGTCATTTTGTCAGTTTATTTTTACCTTGGTTTTTAAGATTCCATTTGTGGGTAGTCAATCTAGGTACATTAATACATTTTTACTTAAAAGTAACAAAAATGTAAGCATTGAATTTATTTAATACTCTGGTTTGATTCTATATAGTTTTAGCTTTCATTGGTGATTAAAAACCTAGATATTTACCAGAACTTGAGGATAGGAGTCATATGATGTGGACTGACCAATATATAGCATTTTTTTTTTTTAAAGATTTTTATTGGGGAATTGGGGGATGGGAACAGTGCTGGGGAATTGGGGAAAGGGGAACGGACAAGTTGCTGTCGTTTTGTTTTTCAGTCTAGTTGTGGAGGACGTTACTTCACTGGCCCAAGTTGGCACCATCATTGCTCTCTTCCCGGGCGAGGCAGATCAGTCGCCGGCTGCTGGCTGGCCGCTCACGCTGGCTGCTGGCTACATACGGTAGCCCATGGCAACCCACTGCCACAGGGGCTGCAGCCTACACCATCGCCGGTGACTCACGTCAGCCCAGCTCCAGGTTGAGCTATTGTTCAGCATCTTAGCTGTGGAGGGCAGTGTCACTGGCCCTCATACGTGGGATCCGAACTGGGGCCCTCTGGCATCCCAAGCCAGTTCTTAACCATTGTGCCACTCGGCCGGCCCAATATATAGCATTTTTTAAAAAACCTAAAATGTGTCTGTCTTTAGAACACTTTTTACCTCCTCCCTTTTATGTTTAACATATATTTGAGACTTTTATTAATTCAGTTATTTTCACTGTGTTGCTCAAACTGTCAACTTGACAAGTGAGAGGACTTCAGGTTGTCTCCTGTGCCCTTCCAGAACTGCCTCAAGGCTTGTTTTCTTTAAGAAAAAAATTTCCGGGTTGTGTTGGGGGTCCAGGTTTGGTAATTTTCTAGGAGGACATACACAGCACTCAGCACATAGTCATGCTCAGAGCTAAGATTTATTGCAGTGAAAGGATAAAAAGCAAAATCAGCAAAGAGAAAAGGCACACCGGGCAGTCAGAAGGGACCAAGGGAGGCTTCCCGAGTCCCTTTTCAGTGGAGTCTCACAGGACGCACTTAATTCCTCCAACAAGAGTTGTGACAACACATGCAGAGTGTTGACTCCCAGAGAAGCTCATTAGAGGCTCAGCGCCCAAGGTTTTCATGGGAGCTGGTCACGTTGGCACCCTCTGCTGAGCACATACCAAAATTCCAGACTCCCAGAAGGAAGTGGCTATTCAGCATAAACCACTCTGTACGCATAGCGTAGGCCCATGGAGGCAGTCTCAGCATTTAGGGAAAGTTTTATGTCAGCATAGGGAACCTTTGCCAGCCAAGGGCCAACCTTGTAAGTAGGTCTTTCTAAGGGTAGGCAACCTTAAGCCTGCTGTGTTAACACAGGCCTGTTTTAGAGTTTCCTTCTCACAACACATTGAAAATGTCCTGGTTCCTTTCAGTAGAGAATAATATTAGACTGTCTGGTCATTAAGGAGCATGAGTTTGTTTCACACAAATACTAGGTGGAGGACACTAACTGGAGGCTACTTTAGGGACAGAACTAATAAAATACTTTTTCAACAGGCGATTCTCTCCTTAACTCTAACCTTTAAACCTTTCTTCATCTTGTTTTAATAGAAAAAAACTAATCAAATGTTTTTATTTTTGAGCAAGCAGCTTCTCTCTTCTCTAACATCACCTTTTCTTGATCAACTTTAATGTACCTTGTAATTTGTTAGACCAGTGTGCTTATATTAGAATATTGATGTACGTACTTCTTTTTCTCAAATACAGTTGGATTTTATCCATATTCCTTATAAAAATAAAACCCATAATTTATTATTGTATTCCATTTTAGAGCTTTGGGAAGAACTGTACATTATAATTAAATAAAAACATATGGGTAGAATAGATTTGGGGTAGGTAATGGAACCATAGAGCACCCCTTCCTTTTTGTGCCCAAATATCTTGGAATTACTTTTATACTCCCATCTCCATCACCATCAACTGAATCTGATGAAGGGAAAGAGAAATTATTATATCCTCCTATGGAATAGTCATTGATGCCTAGTATCTTAGATAAAAGTATAGACAATTAGTAGAGAATAGTAACTGGTGAATGGGAGAAAAATATAAACTTGAGATTTTCTGAAATTCTTCTTTAACTCTATTACTAGGCCCAAACTGCAGACCAGCTGTGTGTATGTGTCCATTATTTGGTCACTGATAGTTTTAACATTGAACTCTAATTTTGTTAGAATTCTTTAGAGAAAAACTTTACCTAAGATGTTCCGATGTAATAATTACTGAAAGTCCATTAACTAGCCCTTCTTGTTTGGAAGCCATGGACTCAAGCCAAGATTCTAGAATGACCCAAAAGTAAAATAAATTTATCTCTAAACCTTATAATCCTGGGGAGACTTCTTTGACCATTTTTATTTCAGCAGCACTGCCGTGATCGCGTGTTTAGCCCTGTTCACTCTGGCCCAGCAAGGCCCTCTTTTCCTAAACAAAATCAGCAATTAAGGCACATCCCAATAGGCTAATCCTTTTATTTTAGTTTATCCTATTTGAGAATAAGAATCATCCTGGAAAGGATACACTTAGAGGTTTTAAATTATTAGACACATATGAGTACTTAACACATTCACCTGGCTATGTTACAGCCCCACACCTGTTTCACAGAAAGTTCCAAAAACATTTTTATATTTTTACCAATGAAAGTTTCATGTGTCAAGTGTTTTTTATTGTCTGCTTAGGAAGTCAAAGCTCAGCACCAGTTTTAACTGACTTAGTTTATTACACCTTTGTACACCCAGAACTCAAGGTTCCAGCTCCTTTCAGACATCACCGGCCCTTATCTGTTTAAAACATACACACATAAAATCAGATTTCCTCATAGTTAAAATAACATTCAGCCAGTGTAGACATTACAGTTTTATATTTTCTTATGATCAGCCTTTCTATTTTTAACCACCTCTCAAACCTCAACATTTATTGACTTCTTACTTGATCAATATTCAGTTTTTATCTGTTCTTTGGCTTTCTCCAAAGCCTGCTGCTTGTATGATGAACCAATGATTTTACTTTCATTTTGTGTCTCTTTAAGTATCCACTGTGGGGATTCCTCAGGCCTGTGAGGAATGTGCTTGGAGTGCTATTGTGGTGACCTGGCCAGCAAGTGCCATACTGTCACCACACAGGTATCTGTATTAGGATTGAAGTTTTCCTGCTCCTTTTATTTTACTTCCAAAAGGTCCTTAGGTTATACACTCGCACCGCTCCTATTAAACTGTAGTAGATATAACTGTATTCTATGCATACTGTGACTATAGTGGTGAGACCCAATTATTTAATAAAAAATATTTACTTAGTTGCCCAAGTGACCAGAGGAACGTTTAGCATCGTTATTCAAAAAGGATGTTTAGCTTCCTAGGGTTTCCCAAGTTCAGTGAAAATATACTTAGCCAGTGAGCTGCAACAACAGCTGCTTACATTCCTGGAGATCTGGCTTGTTTTGTTTTGTTTTTAGCCCTCCATAGCTTTTATGGTTGGCTGCTGACTAATATTGTAACAAAAGATTAGAAAGAATTCAAGGGCCCACCAATAGGGCCCTTGAATAAACCTTGAATAAATAGTGGTATGGCTACACAGGTATGAAGAAATGAGAACGATCTCTGTAAGCTGCTGTGAACAGATGTCCAGAATATATTGTCAAGTAAAAAAATCAAAGTACAGAACAGTTTGTGTAGTATGCCATACAAAGAGGGAAAATATTAAGATGTATATACATAGTTGCTTATAGTGTCACAAAGAAACAACTGAAGAGTAAAACAAAACCAAGTAAGAATGGCTACCTATTCAGGAAGAGAGAAACTAGAGGTGGAAGCTAGACCTCTCTGAATGTAGTGTATTTTATAATTTTGATTTTGGAACCTTGTAAATATTTTACATAAGTAAAAATTTTTATAATCAAACACAAGCTGAAATAAGTAAACTGTATATCATGTTGGTGACAAATACATAGAGTAGATTTCTTTCAAATGACTTTAAAACAATAGTTTATACTATATCCCTAGTGGGATATGTCCTAAAGACCAAAAGAACCGCAAAAATATTGAAAGTTAAGTTCATACTTTTGTTAATAATATCGGTATTATTTTGAAACATATATTCAGAAAAGCAAAGATTATGTTAATGTCATTAGAAACCAAAAATTTCAGGGTAAGAGAGAAAAGATACAAGTGTAAAATTGAGTGATTTAATTAAAACCCTGTAATTTTAAATATGAATATAAACTCACACTTTCTTTTTCTAAAGGTATGTGTTCTATAGTCCATCCATTGAAAAGACCTAGGAGCAGTGATAACCAATCAGCAGTCAGCATCCTGATCATCCAGATTGTGGTCTTTGAGTTCCATTTCTCAGAGAGACCACTGATTGTGTGCTTGGTGCAGGAAATGTACGAGATGAACCTGGGATAGTTGGTCATACCAGAAATGGAAAAAAACTAGATGTTTGATGATGTGCAAGGACATAGAGCTAGCTAATCTGAGGGGGCTCCCGCTGGGGTAATTTGAGCATTAAAAAGAGTGACTGCAGTGGATTGAAACTCAGACAATGTATAACATTCTATGAGTTTGTAATGATAATCAAAAAAAAAAATAGTCAAAACCACTTGAACCACTTTTGGAGGTTTCTAGAGCACTAACTCATTGTTCAGAAAACTGATGCAGAGAAGCACCTGAGCATTTAAAAAAATCTCTCATTTTTGATGACTAGCAGTCCCCCCTCCGGATGACTGTTAAAAGGTCCTCTTCCTTACATCTAGCCTCTCCCCTCCTTCTTTATGTATGTATATGTATAAAATCTGGAAGAAGAAAAAAAGATAAGGTTGGAGTATGTTTCATACATTTCAGCCTTGTAGCTCAAAGTAGGACGTTGGAAAGGCAGCCTGCTGCCCGTGCTAACCCTCTATGTTCCCCACCTGACAGGTGTTTGGGCCTTAGTCTGTCCACCTCTTATTTCATCCGCTTTGGGTACATCTGTAGATTTCAGTGGTCTCTAACTGACTTTACAGCATTGAGAAAACAACTAGTGAGTTCCCATTTGCTGGGAATAAAGTCATGACCTGCCTCCAAGGCTTTTCTGAGAAATAATAATATAAAGAGCTTGAATTTACTCTCTGGACCTTGTCAGCTTGCCAGCTTGTCCTTTTAGGCCAAAAAAGGTTATATAGGCCTCGGCGGGAAAAGCAAGCACAGCTGTTTCTGCACTGACCAAATGAGGCATGCTCTGTGCAAAGCCTTTGGAGACTGATCTTTTCTCTTCCTAAAAACTCCCCAAGGCCTGAGGGGCTTGCAAATACTATTCCTGCTCCCAGAGTTCAGGAAACAGTGACCTGTATCATTTAATAGGCAAAGGTAATATGATCTCTTAGAAAAAGAACTGGGAACCTGCAAAGTATGTTTCTGAGGAGTCAGGGCTGTGTTTAAACTGAACTGACCTAACTTTCTAATTCGAGAAATGTATTTAGTTTTGTGTTTTTTAAATTTATTGGAGTGACATTGGTAAGTAAAATTATGTAGGTTTCAAGTGTACATTTCTACAATACATCACCATATATTTGACCCCCTTTACCCTCCTTTACCAGCCCTTTTGCCCCCCTTACCCTCTGGTAACCACTAAACTGTTGTCTATGTCTATGAGGTATTTTTTTTATATTTGTTTTTAATTAACATTTAAGAAAAACTTTTTTGTCAATCTTGTTTCTTTGTTTTTTTTCCTGCTGTATTATTTTATTTTATTTTATTTTATTGGGGAATTGAGGGAGGGGAACAGCCCTGGGGAATCATCGGGGAAGGGGAACAGACAAATTGCTGTTGTTTTGTTCTTCAGTCTAGTTGTGGAGGACGTTGCTTCACTGGCCCATGTTGGTATTATCACTGCGCTCTTCCCGGGTGAGGCAGATCGGTCGCCGGCCTCTGGACGGCCGTTCATGGCGGCTCTTGGCAGTTCACACCGGCTGCCGGATGCTCACACTGGCTGCTGGCCACACACGGTAGCTTATGGCAGCCCACTGCAGCAGGGGCTATAGCCTATGCCATCACCGGCGACTCACGGCGGCCCAGCTCCAAGTCAAGCTGTTGTTCACCATCTTAGCTGTGGAGGGCAGTGTCACTGGGCCCCATGTGGGATCCAAACCAGGGCCCTGATGCTCAGAGCTGGCGTCCCAAGCCAACACCTAACCAACACGCCACTCGGCCAGCCCTTCCTGCTGTATTTTAAAGCAAACCTTTGATGATGGCGTTTCACTGTAGATACTTCTTTATTGTCACTTTATTTAACCTGTGGGCCCTCTCTACTTAAAATGGAGAAAATAATTCCCTGCTTCATTATTTCATAAAGAAACGGTGAGAGAAAAAAGGAAAACATTTTGAAAGTAGCCTGCTACTGAAATTAAAGGTACTTTTGATCCTATATTATTTCAGGGTGTCATGTCCAAAATAAAAGTTGTGATTTGTTTTGAAATGGGCTCACTGAATATAGTGAATCAAGCTAAGTATATCATGTAAAAATATGTAAATTTGGTTTTCTTTTTCAGCTGGTTCTCTAGATGTTATATGCGGTTTTTTTTTTAAGGCTGGTTTTGTTGTTATAGTTAGTTAGAGGTAGATGGGCAAAACTTAGTGTTCAAAAAACCAACATGATTATTTTCACTTTCCAATTCACGTCCCTGAAGGCCATTCTCTTTTCCCCCCACAAATAGAGCCTGGCATTTCAACATCAGATATTCTGTCTTGGATAAAACAAGAGGAAGAACCCCAGGTTGGGGCCCCGCCGGAGGCCAAGGACAGTGGCATATACAAAGGCACCTACGCTGGTGAGTAATGAATGCAAGGGACGTTTGTGCCCAGATCCAGCTTCTGCCAGGACTGACAGAAGCCATGGCACGTGAAATGGGCTTGTGGACACAAGGAAGTGGGAGGAGAACGGGAAAAGGAGAAACAAAAGCCATGCTCTATAAGTTAGAAACGAAACCAAAATCAAACTAATATCAATTTTAAGTGAGAGAACACACTCTTAAGCGTAAAGACAAATTAGAATTGTCAGAGGAAGAAAAATAAGTGCGTACAGATGGACCACAAGTATGAGAATGAGAAAAGACTGAACATTTAAAGATCATGTAGAAAGGACAGATCAAAAAGGGGGGCGGGGAGGAGACAAGCAGTGAAGACCAAAATGTCAGTGGGGAGGCACACATGGGAACGCTGATGAAGACTATCCCTCAGGAAAGAATGATGGGGAAAGAAATACCTTCCTTGTAAGATAGTTACCACCATCTGTAGTTTGCCCTCTAAATCATAGAAAAGAATCTCAAGGTCAGAAGGGACCCAATTGTTTATATAACTCAATGCAACCTGTTTTTTAATATCTTCTATATCCTATGTTCTTTTAGACTCTAGGAAATAAAAATTTAAAAAAATAAGACAGTTTCTGTTCTTCAAGATATGAATATTGTTGTTAAGTGTCTGTTGTTAAGTGTCAAAGGTGAGTGCGGTGGATAACTTACACACAAGAAATGAGAAGTTTGGAGAACACACATCAGTTTTAGTTTAGGTATTGATGTTTTAGCTAAGACCTAAAGAAGGACGTGAAGCCAGAATTGGGCCTCAGAAGACCGGTATGATATGGTTGGATATAGTTTGGGAAGAGAGGGTATGCATTCTACAAATGGGAGGACAGAACAAGCAAAGGTATGAAGCAGAAATGTGTACTTCATTTTCAGGGAAAGTAAAGTGGCAGCCAACAATCGTGAAGGATTTATGTGGCAGAATAAAGAGGAATAGGAGTAGATAAATATATACTTGTAGGCCTTGTTACAATAGGCAACAGAGACTCTTTCCAAGTTTGTGAGCAGAGGAGGAACATAATGAAAGCGTGCTGGGGAGATTGATGGCCAAGGTTGTTCCTTTTCCAAACAGGGAGCATGGAAGAGGTTCAGTAGTAAATTCTCTGATAATTTGTCACAGGGACCACAGACGGCTTGATGATGAGCTCAGCCCTCACTGAGTTTCTTATCGGAGCCAATTTAGAGCTCACAGCAGCTGGGGAGGAATGCTGAGAGTCGCTATGTGGCAGTTATTGACGGGTATGACTCTGAGTCCTGTCTTTCAGATGAAGAGCTTGTCATCAAAGCCGAAGGCCTTGCCAGAGCCTCCTTGTGTCCCGAGGTCACCTTCTCTTCTCCACCGGCAACAGCAGCAAAGGATACTTTTGCAGATGTGGCTTTCAAAAGCCAGCAGTCTGCATCCATGACACCTTTTGGACGTCCGGCCACTGACCTGGCTGAAGCCTCTGAGGGACAAGTGACTTTTACTCAGCTGGGTAGCTACCCCTTGCCGCCTCCAGCTGGGGAGCAGTTGTTCTCATGCCACCATTGTGGCAAGAGCCTCACCCAAGACATGTTGCTGACCCACCAGTGCAGCCATGCTGGTGAGCACCCCCTGACCTGTGCCCAGTGCCCTAAGCACTTTCCTCAGCAGGCCGAGCTCGGCAGCAACTCCCAGGCCCCGGCCAGTGAGACGCCCCCGACCTGCCCGCACTGTGCCCGAACTTTCACTCACCCGTCGAGACTCACCTACCACCTGCGGGTCCATAACAGCACTGAGCGCCCGTTCCCCTGTCCTGACTGCCCCAAGCGCTTTGCTGACCAGGCCCGCCTCACCAGCCACCGGCGAGCCCACGCCAGCGAGAGGCCCTTCCGCTGCACGCAGTGCGGCCGGAGCTTCAGCCTGAAAATCAGCCTCCTGCTCCACCAGCGCGGTCATGCGCAGGAGCGGCCTTTCTCCTGCCCGCAGTGTGGCATTGACTTCAACGGCCACTCGGCCCTGATCCGCCACCAGATGATCCACACAGGCGAGCGACCCTACCCGTGCACTGACTGCAGTAAGAGCTTCATGCGCAAGGAGCACCTGCTGAACCACCGGCGGCTGCACACGGGCGAGCGGCCCTTTAGCTGCGCGCACTGCGGCAAGAGCTTCATCCGCAAGCACCACCTCATGAAGCATCAGCGCATCCACACGGGCGAGCGGCCGTACCCCTGCGCCTACTGCGGCAGAAGCTTCCGCTACAAACAGACACTCAAGGACCACCTGCGTGCAGGCCACAGTGGAGGCTGTGCCGGGGAGAGCGACCCATCTGGACAGCCGCCTGACCCCCCAGGTCCCCTCCTGCCGGGCCTCGAAACCTCTGGCCTAGGTGTTAACACTGAAGGTCTAGAGGCCAATCAGTGGTACGGGGAGGGGAATGGAGGCGGGGTTTTGTGACCCACCCTCCTTCCTCGGCTATCCGTGCTCAACGCAGGGACTGAGAAAGGCCCACGGAGCCCCTACCCCCACAGTAATCACTGTTGGCACTTCGATGAGTTTGGGGTCCTATGCACTTGACTAGAGACATATGAAGTTTGGGAGCTTCACAGCATGACAAGAACACCACATTTTGAAACCCAGAAAGACCTGGAAAGGAGCCCATCACCCCCATCTTTTCAAAAACAGGACCTACGCAAAAGTTGCAGAGGAGTAGGAAAACAAGATTGGCCTCATGGGAATCCATCACTGGGTAATAGGTTGAGAGGGATCGCAGCACTAGGTACAGACAGGTGCATGGGAAGCGCCTCCAAAGCTCCAAGCCCATCTGAGGCAGTTTCACTGAGCCTTTCCTGACGGGAAGTCGGCTGTTGGGAGGAAGGGCTCAAGCCTCAGTGTGGGCCCCTGGTCCTCCTGACACCAGCTCAGCTGCTGTTCAGGTGCCGATGTACCACCTCTCCTGAAATGACAGCTCTAAACAGCCCGCCTAGGTTTCCTAGACTAATTCTTCTACATACATTTTGTTTAAGATTGGGTGAGCAAGAAATCCGACTTTAAAATCTTCTTAAGGAGAACAGTTCTTAACTTTCATAAGCTTGGTTTGAGGCGTTCAGCCTCTTAACTGGCTTTTAAACGTCTAGAAACCTTTGCTGAGGTCCTGGTTAAAAAGTTGGGAGCCGTGTTCTCAGCCCCCGCTTTAAAAGCTAGAGATCCCAGAGAAATGACAGAACAGCCTACAATTTGTGCCTGAACCATGTTTCTTAGAGTCTTGTATGTCAGATTCTTCCTTATCATTTACAAGCCCATAAGATGGCTTTTCCATTTCTGTTGTCTGATATTTTTGACAGTTGTCAGCAGAAAAGACCACAGCACTTTCCAGAAGCGTAATGGCATTTCAGAAAGTGCCAACGGACGCTCGGCTTTCATTTCCTCAGTAGTGAGGTGATAGTGTTATAAGGCAGCTTTCTTGAGGCATCAGAAACTGTGTTCACCCATCTGGCTATTCCTCTGGTGACAGTGGACAGATTGAGGGTCTCCTAGGTCACTGAGAGCTACGCATCATGCAGCAGCCTCTTCCTGCTGGTTTAGCTTTTAGGGACCTTGGCTACCATGTGTTCTCTTGTTGGGGTCATTCAGTCGCTCGGGGGCACCTGAACCTTGTTCTATTGCTGAGTGGCTTTGCAATTGGGCACAAGTCCCTTTTCCTTTGTAGATCTCAAGTTTTCATCTGCAAGGGGGAAGGGAAAAAGTGAGCCTCTAAATTTTTTTTTCAATCTTGTGATACATTCCTTCTGCCAAAATCCTCTCTATCTCTGGTTTCTATCCAGGCAAAGCCAAATAAGACAGCAAAATCAAAGCAGAGACATTCTTGCTGAAACTTGACAAATCAATTTGATTTGTTGTTTTACTCTTGCTTGGAGCCTGAGGTGGAAGACAGAAAGAGAATGCAGAAGCCCTAAGTCCTGGGCAGAAAGGCTGTTTGTACCTGCACTCACTTGTCTCCCTGAATCGTCCTAAGATGCCTGGAAACAAGGTCTGCGAGTATTGGGTCGTCGGGAAAGTCATGACGTATTTTTCTGTTTTTCAATGCAAAAATGCGTCATGACTTTCCCAACGACCCAGTATTTCGGCAGGACACTTTCTTGATGAGGTGCTCAGGGAAGGACCCATTTTTCCTGTATCACCTAGCCCAGCATTTACCCTGCTTATTGTGCGTACGCACACTAAGAAAAAGCGGTACCCCAGCTAGCTTGGCTCCTGGGAAGGATCTGTCCGAACATGCTGCTCTTTAGGATAATCACATTTATAAAACATCTGCTCTGTGTCACTCGCAGCATCTGGGATCGTGGGAGACCTAAGGAATGTGTGAGACCTAGTCTGCTGTCCTAACGTGCAGCCTGAAGGCAATGAAGAAACCCGGGGGTATAGAACAAACCAGGACGGGTGATGAGCAGAGCCCTGGCATATTGGGATGAAGAGCTTTCTAGCTAGACTCTGGACCCATACTAAGGGAAAATTTGGGGGCTCTGAGAATTCTAGTTCTACTGGTGACTCACTAGGAACTTGAATTTGAGATCCAAGTCTGGTTTGCACCTTGATCTCCCTAATGAAAAGGGAGAAGCATCCAAGTACTGTCTTTAGGTGGTACGCCCCCTTTCCTGAACAGATGTAGCATTTGTCAGGGTGTGCAGGAGAAGGGAATCTTACACTAGTGTGATGTTGGACTAGATAACATGGAAAATTCTTTTTTACTGAGGACACAGAGCTTACTAATGAAGGAGACCTGTAGGTTAAAATGATGCAGATAGATGATGTCACAGTCCCTTCTGCAAGGGACCTAAGTAACAGGGACCCAAACTTTGGCAATAAGTGAACACAGTTGAAATACCAGTGAAGCAAGAGCCATGAAGCTGAGTGAAAGGGAATGAGTGGGGCCACGCCAGAAAGATGGAAGTCGGTGTCACCCTAATATTTCACCCTGGTACAGACTAGGAAGGCCCACTATGGTGCATTCTGGTCTCGTCTCCTCCACCAGTCCTCTACCAGGTAGCACTTCAGGCCAGCTCCAAATTAGAGAGTTTGTTTGCTTAAGATTCAAGAGTGGTTAAGTAAAATGGATCAGTGGAAAAGATAAAGTCCAACAGAAAGGTTTCAATGTGTAGAGAGAAACGTGGTCCATTAAGGGCTCCTGAGAGAACCCATTTAACTCAGCAGTTGAAGAAGTACCCGAGGATTGATTGCCCTGAGCAGATGTGGCAGGAGAGGCAGACCCAGAAATGCACTCCTCAGTCTGCCCTCTGGGCTCAGGAGTCTGTCCTATCACAGAAGTAGGCACCGTCGCCGCCGAGTGGATCCAGGTGCTGACTAAATAACCACATTCACTCTTTGCTTACTACTAGGTTTTTCATTGTCACCATAAGATGAACCTCTGGTTCAGCTACAGATGTGAAAATAAATGGAAGTTGATTGCTTGTCTAGAAAGCGAAAGCTGATGACTCTGACCCTTTCTGCTGGATATTTGATATTGGCAAAGCTGTCGCTGGGCTCTAGCTAGAACAGTGCTTTCCATAACTTCCCTCATTAATAATAGTCTGCAGAGTTCCCGTTGGGAGACTCTGCCGGGGTGCTTTTTGGAACATTTTTGAGAGATTTGAGAGTCCATTCCTATCTCAACCAGGACCAGACCTATGGATTACTGGGGAATAACAAAAATTTCCTGTCTCAGTCTGCAGAGGCCTTGGTGACATGAAATGACGGGAGTTTATCTGTTCATTCCAAATGGTATAGAGAACCTCAGATTTCCTCTTGAGGAGGGGCAAGACACCCCATCCCTTCCCCCCATATCGTGGCTTCTTAGACAAAAAACATCCTCAGTAGCTGCCCAAGGGCTGCTCAGTAGCAATGAGTAAATAGCAAGCCCTTCCCCGAAGGCCCTTATAGACCGGAAACTCATCAGAGACATGTTTTGTCTGTGTGCTTGCTGGATGCCTTTGACCCTGTTCTCTTCACTCAGGAAGCAGTCACTTCTCAGTTTGTACACAGAGGACATTCTTTGACTAAGAAATGTCAGGCTCTTACAGGCGAAAGGTCCTCAAGTTGGGTCAGATTGGGGAATGGGGACGGGCATTGAACAGGGCCTTAAGGCCACGTGGGTCAGTCCAGCTTAATGGTTTAGAGCATGGACTCCGAGTCAGACCTGGATTCAAGTCCTGGCATCATCAGAAGTAACAAAACATGTATTATTTAATCGTCATGAGCCTAGTTTCCTTATCTGTAAAAGACGGAGAGTGATACCTCTGTCTCGGAGGTGTTAGGTGAGGGGGAGCCTGTACAAGTGCTGAGCACAGAGCCTGCACGGAGACGGTGTCAGCATGGCCGCCGTCGAGAGAGCTGTCCAGTGCCAACCAGAGCGAGGGCCAGAAAGCCGGTGAGCTGGAAGCACAAAGTGTCAAGAACTGAGACTGCTCCCCGAAGCACAGGATTGCTTGATGTCTCAGCCTTATACCTGCCATCTTTTGCTTCCATGTAGCCTGTTCTCGTACTCCTGTAATCTTTTCTGTACCTCCTGGCTCCCACAAGTTCCTGTGTGCCATGCCACCACTTGGCTCTGATTCCCTTGGTTTTTCTTAGTTCAGATTCTAAGGCCTGGAATGTGGCCCAGCTCCTTTTTCTAGACCAGGCCACAGAAGTTTCCAGCCAGCCTTGGATTGGCTGCCCTTGGGGTATGTGCTCATCTTGGTTCAGTCAGCTGTCGTCGGGAGGGAAGGTCCCGTTGTTCCTGCACCGGGACCTGTGCCTTGGCGATGGGCAAATGGTGGCACAGTATGACATTCTAGACCTACCGGGCTAGGAGAGAACGCTCACCTGTATCGGGGTTCTTAAAAGACACCCTCATTAGCACTGTCCTAGAGCAGAGCTTGTCCCTTGCTCAAAGGACTTGGCAGGTGCCATTTATGGATCTTGCAAAAGGGGTAATTTGTCACTTTACAGGGTGTTATTCCTCCCTTTCTAGCCCTGTTTTTTTGTTTTTTCATTTTTTTTGTTTTAGTGTTTAACTCTGGCCATAATTATCTATACACATACACAATGACTTTTGTCAACTTGGTCAAATTGCCTCTTCAAAACAAAGAATTATTTCACTCCTAAGACCAGCCATTCACTAAAGAATGCAGAAAGATACAGTCCAATCAGAGAAGTCTCAAAAGCAGTGTGCTGCCATGCTCTAAAACTTGGCAGGTTACATCTCAAATAAAATATCTGATAAAAGCTCATTGGGCGATGTGGCTTTGTATTTGTTTATTAGCAAAGCCAGTATTTGCTGTAAAACCTTGAAATTGGCTTGAAAATTAAGCTACCCAAGAATGGAAGCCATGTCTTGCTTCTGATATCCCTCATGGTGCCACGTGCTGTTGGGGAACTGAATGCTTGATGAATAATTGCACGGTGGGAAGACCACCTGAGCAGGGGTGAAAAACTGGATTCCAGTCCTAGCTTAACTTTTTCTACCCTTTTGATATGGAACAAGCCACTTAATTTGTGGAGATCTCATTTTCCTAATTCTAGTGTGCACATTGAACAAGATGATATAAGATCCCTTCCAACTCTAAAATCATCGACTTTAAGATTTTACCTCCTGGTCCTGTTTTCCTTGTCTGGTTTCTCTCCAGATTCTGCCCTACTGAGCGATTGCTTCGGCACAGAATAAACACCTTGGAGAGGTAAGCGTCATTACAGAATAAAAAGTCTCATTCTAACGATGTTATAATTATTCCAAAGCCACACAAGCTAACAAAATTCTAGCAAAACTATAAAATTTTGTTTTAAATACACCGTGTGCAGTTGATTGCATTTTTTTTAGGCATAAAAAACACACCAAAAGAACAATGGTGGTTCTAGGATGCTGGGGTCATTCAGTCGTTATTTTTCCCTGTAAATTCCATGTAATGTAAAACATTTTGTGTATAGCATTTTTAATGCTTTTATAAGAATAAGGATTATTGTAGTGAGAAAGGTCCTGGAAAGGAAGTCAGGAGGCCAGCGTTTTAACCTTGCTTTGCTTTTCTCGTTTGCAATGTAAGGATAATTCACGCTTTGCCAAGTTTAGGTAGGTGATGTGAGGCTTAAATGAAGGAAGGTTTTAAAAAGTGCCTTGAAACATTATAGGCCTAAGAAGAAAGTGTTGACATAGTAGGGGCAGGAGAATTACTTGTTGACCAGTTAATTTCCTGGATGTTGTTGGTGTTTCTCTTCATTCAAGACTGGACAGTGGTCGTTTCTCCACTTCCAGTTTCCTTGCCTGTGCTGGGGAGACGCTGCCTGAGATTGCAGTTTGGGGAGCCTTGGGGGAAAGGAAGTGTGAGTGAGCAGAGACTGAAAACAAAGCTGGATGCAGAAAATACCAGGTAGACCTATAGAATGTGTTGACTTCTACCAGCAAGATAACCAGTGTTATGTCTACGAAGAATTATAACAAATTAGTGGGAGGCAGGCACATTACTGGAGAGATTGGGTTAAACAAGCAGAATCCAAAATTAAGGATGTACATAAAGCTATGTACATCAAGCCAGTTCTCGGCTTTGAGTTTATATATTTTTTAAACATATGTAAGGAAACTATCTACAAACCGACCTCAAAGAGTAAACAGGATAAAAACAATGAGCAAGAATAATTAACCATTTTATTATGAGCCAATAAGTGATAATTTAGGATATTCATATCCTCGGGGGCTAAGACAAGGATATGAGGAACAGCAGGAAGAGTTTGTTGCGCTGGTTTTTTTCTTGGCTGTACATTAGAATAACCTGGGGAGCTTAATAAGATATGTATGCCAGCACCCACCCCAGCATGAGTTCATTCATCTGGGAGGGGGCCTGGATGTTTTCTTTTCTTTTTGTTTTTAATTCCCCCAAGTGACTCTAATGTGCTTGCAAGTTTAGAAGATTGTGGAAAGAGAGAGTGAATTATTGGGCTGGAGATGACCAGCTAGCCTGCTTTACTGGAGCTGGGAGCTGGAGACTGGAGATTAATAAAGGGTCTTTGAATCCACAATGGGAAGTCATATTTGATTCTAGAGGCAGGACTCAGGAGGAAATAGGCTATGGGAATGGTTGTCAGAAAAGCTGTGACAGCTCTCAGTGGTTAAGTCAGGAGCTCTAGGGGCAGTGGGAGAAGCAGCACTGACTTCAAGCTGTGTCCACTGCAGGCTCTGCCCAGAGACCGGGGACATCAAACGCTGGCAGGATGCTGGGTGAGCACAGACGGGAGTGGTCCCAGTGCCTGCGCCCTACACCTCCCTCACGTCTAGGGTGGTGAGGCCAGCACCTACCTGTAAGACCAGGTTGCTAAAGCACAAAAACCAGCTCGGCTTTCATAATAATACATGGTTTCAATACCCTATTTGTTGCACTTAAAAAGCCAAACAAACAGTATTTTTCTGAACAGTAGAGTTTACTTTGACTGAATTTTGAGTAATCATTACTAAAAATGATGATTTTGAGTAATCAAAACCACACTTAAAAGTTGGGGACTGAGAAGATTTCAAGAGAACATATAGTCGTTACCAACATAAAACCTGGCTTCTGCATAGAGGGTGCCTAAGCGCTAGGTGGGTGACTCGCGTTAGAACTGTTGAGCAGGGCACTCACTCGGTAGCCCGAGCAGTTAACATAGTTATTGAGACTGAGGGAAGTACCAGAGTCATTAAGAACTGAGGAGAAGCCAGTGACCTTTACTGTCTACTGTCAAGACTTGTAAAGGTGGTGAAATGCCTTTCTGAAGTAGGCGTAAAATAAACCGAAGAGGGAAAAGGAATACTTTCTCCAAAGTGTATATAGATATAAAGCAGAATTTTCAGAAGTTAGTGAGAAAGAGGAGAGAATGTGAAAATGTGTGTGTACATGTGTATGTTTGGGCATTTACCGTATTTGCCGGCGTATAAGACGATTTTTTGGCCCTGAAAAATATGCCTCCAAGTGGGGGGTCGTCTTATACGCCAGGTACACTTCAGATAGACTGCCCATAGTGCTTGCCCCGTGCCATAGTGGCCTCCCGATGCCCGCCCACTTCATTCCACATACCGTTCAGGCATCAGCAGCGCTGCTGGGTGTATGCTCGGCTGTGTGCGATTTTACCACACTCGCAAAATCGCACACAGCCGACCATATAACAAACTCTGTATTTTGAGTGGAGATGTTAGGGGGTCGTCTTATACGCCGAGTCGTCTTATACGCCGGCAAATACGGTATGTTTGAATTAAAATGGTGGCAAATGGTGGCTCTGAAAAAGGCAAGGATGTTGAAAACTCATTAGCAAGAGCAAATTGACCTTGAAACTGTAAAATATGAAAGATGTGTGATCCCCACATGAACACTTTGTGCCTCTTCTAAGTAGTGTTGAAGCTTTATCACCTCCCCCCCAGTGCCCCCCCCCCATAAAGCCCTGCTCTGATTTTTAGTCACACTTAGGATGTCAGTGACTTTGAAACCTAAGGAATTACCCTTCCTTGGAGGTTGGCGTAACTAGGGACAGCGTCCTGAAGACAGGATGTCACCACAGACATGGCAGTGGGTGAGGGAGTGCTCTTTTCCCCACCCCATCGATGACACTGTAGCCAGCTTGTAGATTTAGGCATGGGAGACACCACGAGGAAATGCGAATCTGGTTACCCTTTTCCCTCAGCTAAGAGTGAATCTGGAGGTTTCGTCTTCAAATAAAGCTTGTAGTTGTTGGAAGGACGTGAAGTGCACAGGGAGCACCGAGAATTCTTAGAAAATGGTAGAGACATGGATTAGGGGTCTCCCGAGAAACACAACCAAAGGATACGAAGAGACATAAGCGGAGATTTATTATAGGAATGAGCTCATGCAATTATGAAGGCCAAGAAGTCCCATGACCTGCCATCTGCAAGCTGGACAACCAGGAAAGCCAGCGGTGTCATTCGTTCCGAGTCCAAAGGCTCAAGAACCAGGGGGACCGACGTCCCAGCTCCAGGAAAGAGCGAGTTCGTCCTTCCTCTCCTTTTTGTTCCGTCCAGGCCCAGTGGGTTGGATGAGGCCCATCCACATTGGTGAGGGTGACCTTTACTCAGTCTACTGGTGCAAATGCTCATTCCTTCTGGAAACACCCTCACAGACACGCCCAGAAACGCCTAACCAGCTATCCGGGCATCCCTTGGCCCAGTCAAGTTGATGCATACATTGAACCCTCACAACACATAACAGTTCCGGCATTCACGAATTCCCTGTCCTGTGGCCTCCCCTCCATCCTGTAGTGCAGCCTCTGTCCTGTCCAATGCCCTGTCCAGAGCAGGAGCTATAGAATTCCCAGGTGAGGAGATGGAAAGCAGTCAATTCCCACCTGAGAGAGCAAGGGGCCAGGCTGGGTGCTTCCCTGTCAAGAAATGTTTATTAACAATGAGACTTGAATTTTTAATCCACTTTATCCAGTTGCTCATTCTGTTCCTCAGTTAAATAGATAACTGCGTCCTAGTTACCCAGTGATTCATGAAACAAGTCTAATGACTGGACACCCCTCCCAGTACAGAACCCCCCTGCCCTCCCAGCATCTCTCAGCCCGTCGGTCACTGGAGGACTCATAAAATGGCCATGGCCTGTGCTGCTACAGCAGCCTCCCCTTGTGCCCTTCTTGTCTTCCTTCCGGGAAGTGTTCCCTAGTCCCCCATTCACTACCCTCCTGCTGTATCCACTACTGGGTTTTGGCCTGTGACTGCTAGCTTGGCGGTTATAAAATCACGCTAGTACAATGAAACCTGGGCGTTTAAATTCTGTTTGAGTTGAGTAGCTTTGCTCATATCATGAGAGTGAACCGAACCTCCAGCCCTAGGCAGCCATTCCCTGGCTGTCAGGGGTGACAGTGTGGATGGCTGTGTGACATCCACCCTCCAGGAAGGAGAAACACAACGTGGATGTACCACAATGGTGTCTTACTGTGTAAAAGGGAGGTCGTTAGTTGACTGCTTTATACTGAAAAGGTAGCTTACCCTCTCGGGGCTAACCTAGCCTGTTTCCCACCTCTAGGAAAGGGGGCAGATGGCCATAGGTCAGAATGTGCCTCACTGGTGGAAATGAATTTACCTGGAGCTTTTCAGACTCTACTTGGCTGGTTCCCCTAATAAAAGTGGACGTGATATTTACAATCAAGGGGCAGGCAGCCTGTGGCCAGAGAGAAGAGGGAAGGAAATCGCTGACTTCTGGGAGCATAACCTTCGCCTGCCCTTAAGCTCCTTGAGGATAGTACTAAGCCCATGAGGTACTCATTCTGTAGCCTGGAAGTGTGCCTAACGGAGGAAAAACTTGATATTTACCCTGAATGTGGGTCTCTAAGCACATGTCTCACTTGGGCCAATAATGCCCTTTAGTTTACTAAGTGCCATGGAATGAAAGGGTACCAGTCTGGAGTGGTCCTGCAGCCCTGCCTCCACACACGGCCATAATGAGCCTTGGAGATCAGTCTTAACAAGAGAGGGACTAGTCATCTAGGAAGACAAAGTAGACACTATTTTGAGGATAATCACAAGGACTTACCTATTGGGGGTAACTACCTTTGTTGTGTACCTACTATGTGCTAAGCACTGTTCCCATTTGATTGTTACAACTGTGGATTCGGTATGGTTTTCCTCATTTATATATGAAGAGACCAAGTGAAGATGAGAGAAGTTAAATAACTTGCTCATGGTCACAGCTAATGAGTGGTGATTTTGGAATTTAAATTCAGATGTAGCTAACTGCAAAGCCCCCCTCTGCCTAAGCAGTACCTGGCACAAAGTAGATGCTCAGTAAATATTCGTAGAATGAATTAATTTTCCCTTCCC